AGAAAAAATAGAAATGACAACAAGACTTCAACAAAAAGCAACAGTAAGAAAAGATAATGATAACCAATAGTGAAAGCAATGTTCCAAATGCAAAAACGATTGCAAGGTAAGCATCTTCATGGTATGTACTCTGACATACCAAACAAGCTGATGTAGACACCATACCCATCTGTAGTTACATAGTGCAGAGTTAAAAGCTTAAACTGAAGTTTTATTCTTGCTGCACAGGACCAATGTTTACTAACTAGAAATTAACAAGCACACATATTATGAAATTGTGTTGACTCCAAATACAGATTCTATGATAAATATCCGGAAACAATTGGCCATCTTGTATTAGATTCCACAGTGTGAGCACCCACTGCATATAAAATTAGGCATGATAGAGTGGATCAATATCTGCACTGGAAAATATGCAACTTTTACGGGAAGGAAACTGTAAGAAATTGGTATGGACATCCAGACCAGTGCAGATGCAGAGAAAGAACCTTTAACAATTTGATGGGACTTTATAATATACAGACAGAAGAATCAAAGCTAATTACTTAGACGTCGTGATCAAACATTGATTTCTTATTGGCATGGCAGCCCCTGCAGTTTGTAAGGTAGCTTTGAAAATCTTTAAAAAAAAAAATAACAATATACAAAGATCTTGAAGTAAAAATCTCAAAAATGTGGCACGCTGAGACATCAGTAATTCCATTTGAAGTTGGATTACTCGGATTGATTGGAAATGGTTCCGATAGACTCATTGAATGGATTCCCGGGAGGCCATGTCTGAAAGAAATAGATGAGATTATATTCAAAAAGTGCAGCTCACTCATTTTGAAGAGCTTTATCTATGTAAAATGTGCATCGTCCTAGTTTTTGGTTTGATATTTTTTACAAAAATAGTCAGTAGAAAATGTCATCAAGCCATTTCTAAACTTAGATCTCTGGTTGGAACCCAGAAAGAAATGTGTATACTACAGAAATCAAAGGAAATAATAATAATAATAATAATAATAACACTAGTAATAGTAGTAGCAGTTGTAATAATAATAATAATAATAAAAACGATTGATCATCTTGTATCAGGTTGCACGATGTTGGCACCCACTGAATATAAAGCCCGGCATGACAGAGTGGGCCAATATCTGCACTGGAAAATCTGCAACCTCTACGGAAAGGAAACTGAAGGAAATTGATATGAACACCGTCCAGACCCGGTTACGGAGATAGGATCTGTTAAAATTTTATGGGACTATACAATACACACAGAGAGAAAAATCAAAGCAATCCGCCTAGACATTATTAGAGACCACAAACAAAAAAAAAAGGTGCCTCCTTATTCATATGGCAGTCCCTACGGACTGCAATGTATCCTTGAAGATTTTTAAAAAGCTATCAAAATACAAGGACCTTGAAATCGAAATCTCAAAAATGTGGCACATGGGACTATCAACAATATCTGTTGTAGTTGGAGCCCTAGGTTTGGTTGGAAAAGATTCCAGTAGACTAATTGAAGGGATCCCTGGAAGCCCATACCTTAAAGAAATACAAAACATTGTTCTCACGAGTACAGCCCACACCATACGAAGGACTTTATCTCTGTAAAATATTTTTTTCTTTTTCTTTTTTTTTTTGTGTCAGTGGAAAATTGTCATGATGCCATTTCTAACCTTAGATCTCTGGGCGGGACCCGGAATGAAATGTGAACACACCAGAAATCACAGGAAATATAATAATAATAATAATAATAATAATAATAATAATTTGTATTTGATAAAGAACAGAATAAATCATTAAAATTCTTAGTGCATCTTCTCACAAAGGAAATGAAGAAAATAGTTCAAATAAGAGCAACGCATTTCCCTTTTGATTTTTTTTTTTAATAGCTGTGACATGGTACAGTGGATAAAGGCGTTAGTTAGATAGAGTGACAGGATCCAAAAAAGTGTGAGTTCAATACCCGGTTAAGGCAGTGGAGAACTTGGAGAGGGGAAATAACAGGAGATAACTGACATCCATTAAACATGCTACATGGAACTAGAACAGTCTACTCCAGTGAGCGAAATATAGGATTCAGTTCGACATTCCAACCACCTGAAGAAGGCCGGAGCGTACAACGGCCGAAACGTTATAATAAATATGGCAACAGTCCGAATAATATAAATAGTGTACATAATACCTCATCTCAGAAATATAGACAGATACTGAAAGGCAGAAACGTTGTGATAAATATGGCGAAAACGATGAGGACAATAGTCCGAATAATGTAAATAGTGTACATAATACCTCATCTCAGAAATATAGACAGATACTGTCTTTTTAAATAAGTGGAAACGGCAAGCAGTTCTATCCTTCACTTGCTTGTGGTCATTTGTTACTGACTAACATATCACAAAAAAACAAACGCAGATCAAAAGAAATTTTAAAATAAAAATAATAGATATAAATGATTTATAAAACAAAACCAAGATCAGTGGCATGAATAATATTAAACATTAACGATAAAATAAACAGCGGAAAACAGTTTCATCTTTTCCCCTTACCCAAAGCGAAAAATGTAGTAAAATACATTGATCACACATAACGTGATGTGCTTATTTCTATGTGGAAACTACGATCTACGCTCTATCCCCGATACTGAGGGCTTTTCTTCCGAAATATAGCAGTATTTAGCACTATTGTTTTATGAGTAAATTCATTGCGAATTGGAACTTGAAGTAGCTTTCTCTTGAAGCAATCCAACGCAATCATTTTCTCGTGGGCGATAAGTTCAATAAATTGTGTTTAACCCTTAATTAATGAACTGCGTTTGTCTCCTTGGGCTGTACTAATCACAGTTTTGTAATTAGAATGTCTCGTCGTGTTTGATTGGTTAACACGATCGTCCAGCAAACACCTTTCCTGTTTTCCCCTCACGGAGTGTGCCATATGACGCGAAGTTTAATGAACACCGTAAGTCTCTCACGGTATATTTCTCAGACATCAGCGGTCAACGATATTTCCTGAAACTTCCTTCGTTTGTGGCAAAATCTGGAATGATATCACGCATCACTGAACTTTTATTCTGCTTTCCGGATTGAAATTGAATACAGATTAACCAACGTCTTTTGAGCGCTTTCAGCTTTCACTCAACATTATCAAGGATTTTTGTTGGTTGATATCTTTGTGTCTATGTGAATGTATTTTCTATGTTTTGAGGCTTTGGTGAGTCACATTTTCACAGATCAGTGGGTGATGTGTTGAGTTTTCTTTCAAGCATCGCGTCTTTGCGTGAGAGTTTGTTGAATTGTTGAAAGTACTAGACTGGCCCGGAACTTCTGATTTATATCCGGTGGGGGATCTGTGGTCAATCGTCAAGGGACGACTTCGTGGAATGGACATACGAAGTACTAAAATGTGCATTAGGTCATGTTTCATTGGAAAAATACGGAAACAGTAAATAATAATAGAATTATTTGTATGGTTTTAATTAATTTACACGTGTGTAAGCGTGCCGGGTGTAATGGCCGGATTGTAGATAGACCAATACTATTTATATTAACGATATTCCCAATGAACAGGATTCAAGTAAACAACAATAACTCCAAATTGTAAATCAACAAATATATATTAAAATAACGTACAAGAACAAACATGCAATAAAATTGTTTTCAATGTATAGATAAAGGAAAGGAGTTGTCCCCCTTTAACTGTAGAATGATTTGTAATTAATTGTTCAAAGAAAGTTCTCTTCATAGAAAAATGTTCAGAAATCAATATTAGAGCAAAGTTTGCATGTTAAGAATAAATAACACAAGAGTACACTTAATTAAAAATGTGTTGTGTTATAGAATGGTTTGAATCAACAGAGTACTGGTTGACTGAACTTGGCAAAGTCACAGAGAGAAATGTAAGTTTGTAGTTAAGAAATTCTGTGTCTGTGTGTGCGTTGAGCAAGATCGTGGATTTGTGTTGAAGGCTGGAATCTTACGGGATCTTACTGACGACTTGTGAAAAGTCGCCCGTTTTAAGAAAAAAGTGTAGGCTCCCACGCAAACGCGGAAAAACTTAATCTTGCACTAAAATATGTGATTGGTTAAAAATTAACCAATCACTACATTCGTAATAACACAACAAGCAAACAAGATCAAAACCAAAGGATTCAAAGGATCTACGGCGATGGCTAAATTGTCCTATATAAAGGTAGTAGTGATTATTAGCCAATCGCAGGTGAATAAAATGTAGGCGTGGAAAAATATAGGAATCGCTACATGGGTATTGAACAGACTTTTGTTTTGTTTTGGGGGGGGTTGTTATTTTTTTTCTTAATTATTGTTCAAATGTATTTGTTCTTGATTTGAATAAAATGTTAATGATGATTGCTTTTTTGGTTAAAGCTTCTAATATTTTTAGTTGTTTTTTTATAGTTCATAAAGTATATTATTTTGTGTCGGTTTACGATATCAGAAATATAGACAGATACTGCTTAGAGATATGTTTCTAATATAGTTATTATCGGATATTATGTAGTATAATTTAATAATAGCAAATTTAAATGAACTGTGAGTGTGCAATCAATGTATGTGTTGTCGTTTTTATATCCTTTTTGTATGTTGTGCTTGAACTTATCGTTGTTAGTGATCATATTAGAGGCTTTTTTATATACTATTTTATAAGAAGTTATTAAATGTATTGTTTTATTTTATTTTTTTCGATAAGGATACCAGAAAAACGTCTCGAAGTGAAAAAAAAATTAAGCCAGTAAAATTACTTGATCTTTAATCAAATATCCTGATATATTGATAGATAAATAGGATTAAACATATATATATATATTACTGTACTGTACTGATGCGGCATTGAGCCGGCTTCTTCCTGTTTCCTATATATATATATATATATATATATATATATATATATATATATATATATGAATAGACAGATACCTAGATAGATAGATATATAGACATATATGAACAGACATAGATAGATAGATAGATAGATAGATAGATAGATAAATATGAACAGACTTATCTATTAAATAGATAGATATGAACAGACTTAGATAGATAGATATTAACAGACTTATCTATTAGATAGATAGATAGATAGATAGATATAGATAGAATTAGATAGATAGATATGGACAGAATTAGATAGATAGATAGATAGATAGATAGATAGATAGATATGGACAGAATTAGATAGATAGATAGATAGAGATAGATAGATAGATAGATATGGACAGAATTAGATAGATAGATAGATAGATAGATAGATAGATAGATAGATAGATATGAATAGACTTAGATAGATAGATAGATAGATAGATAGATAGATAGATAGATAGATACAGAAATAGATAGATAGATAGATAGATAGATAGATAGATAGATAGATAGATAGATACAGACGTGAATAGATAGATAGATAGATAGATAGATAGATAGATAGATAGATAGATAGATAGATAAGGGGTTTTGAGCAGTTCTTGTTATAACAGACAGCCCAAATTCTGATCCAATGAAACCTCACCTAAGAATATTTTTAAATCTTTTCTTGGTCAGGCAGGGAATGCTTCTACAATATCTCGTAATATATATTTCATTTTTCATTCTAATACACACACCAGTTGAAATCTAGTTTTTGGCTCTCCAATAAGACCAGTCTGACAATCTGCCAAAAATCTGATACCCAACATAAATTCCCTCTGTCTTCTCCTCGTTTCCAGTCCAGTTAAAAATTAGTTTCTGTAACATCACCATTAGAAATATTACTGAATTTCTCAGATTAACAGAAAGCAACACTGACACCTCTCTCTCGCTCTTTCTCTCACCATATATATATATATATATATATATATATATATATATATATATATATATATATATGAGCAAGCTTTATAATTTTAGCCCAAACAATGCACTATATAGGCTGTTACTGGGTATGAAAGAATATGAGAAAAATATTTTGAAGTAGAAAAATCGATAAAAGAAATTTAAGACATGGCATTTGAATTTATAAAGATAAAACTTGGCTGGAATGCAATAAGCCGGAAGCGATTTCCACAAGCGAATAGCGAACAGAAGAAACTATTAACATAGAACTTACGGTTGCCTCCAACCATTTCGTCTTTAAAATGGTGAATTTCTGTCCGCGGTCTCTTAATGAGCTTCAATTAAAAGACTCTTGGTACGTACAGGAGAGTTCATCAGGACATTAACCGTAAAGGTATTTTAGGGAAAACTACGGCGGCGGGAAACCAACTGAAGTCAAGATACCAAGTAAGGACCAATAAGATTGCAGATTATTCTTTGGATGTCTAAGTATATAGCAGGCGCCCAAGATCGTATGTGGCAGCAATATTCTAAGCATGGACGAATGGCAAACTATCAAATATATGATAGCGAGAAAAATTTTATAACACGACAAAGTGAATTAACATCTGTATGCAGAGTAACGTACAATCGATTCGATACTTATCCTTTTCAATTAATATTAGTGGAAAACGTTAGCCTGGGAAAGCGGAACGAATCACTCTGTTGGAGGTTAACATCAGCCATGCTGGCTGAAAGCCGAATTGTGTCTTTTAGAGGATGAACAGAGAGCAGTCTTGTTTTAGAGTCGTTAAAATTAAGAATTCATTTCTTAGCTCATTTAAGAAACAGAATGTTGGTCAATTTTGACTTCAGTTGTCAATTTGACACTATTGGAATTGATATTAAATCCAGCAGGAATAAATAATTGTGTCGTCATCATCATCATCATCAAGTATACCCTTATGCAAATTAATTGGGACAACCGCTTTAGTTTCATTTCTTTCACCATGCGGTCAGTTTTAGTCCGACTGGTTTGTCACAGTTTAATCGATTTCTATTTTTCCTCAGATGAGGCCATTTGCAGTGGTGTCCAGTAATATAGATCTATTTTCGCGATATATGACGAAATTTGTTCGGCCATGAAAAATATTGCGTCATCCGTGATTGAATCAGATTTTCCTCACGCCCAGACACTATTGTCTCGACTGTCGATTAGTTGTCCTACGACCATTGTCTGCGATGGACGTCACTCCAAGGAGGCGTAGGAAAATTGTAACGATGCACGAACACATTGTCAAGCCTTATCAGTGAGCAAGTCAAAGTACTACAGACTGGCCTAGAAACTCTCCTGATTTAAATCCAATCGAGAATCTGTGGTCAATCTGCAAGGAACGACTTCGTGGAATGGACATAGGAAGTGCTAACATGTGCACTGTGTCATGTTTCATTGGATAAATACGAAAAAAAGTAAATAATAACTGACTTATTCGTTTTGTTTCAATTAATTTGTACAAGGGTGACTAGCATAGGTTTTTTGATGTTCTATCTACGGAGAAATAAAACCCTACTTGTGTCACAGATGTTTTATTTATTCAGGTGGGTCTTTGAATGTTACATCTTTCAAGGAAAACAATGTTTATTGTAGGTATTAATTTAAATATGAATTCAAGTCACCAGAAAATATATATTATTGCTATACAACCAATTTCTGTACTGATTTGGTAACTCACGAATATTTTTCGTGTCTGTGTTTTGACGGATAACGAAAACATTTTTGCTTAATATTAATAAAACATATTTTGTATATTTTGTATATAATATATACTGACAAGATTAGTAATTTTTGGCCTACGGTACTTATGTCAATGCGTTTGTTTACATTTCTCAAAAGGCCCCACGTCGTCACAATCATAGTTAGAAAGATATAAAGCAATTACGGTTCCTCACCAAACATAGGTGCTTTTCTGAAGGCCAGTATAGACATATTTACATAGTTAAAGGTCACCAACTGTCTTAGTAAATACTGACAGCCGAGTGATGAAGTGAAAAATGAATTCCTCCGTTCTCCAAGGCCGTTAGTTCGTAGTAAGTGCGGACCGGATTTTGAATTCACTTCGATGAATCCATCCTACGTGTATTTAAATGTTAGGCGACCATTACCCTCGGGAATTATAGGGGATAAAAGCTATAAATGTTTTTCGTTTGAATTCTGGGATAAGATTTTATCATTATTTATATTTTTATAGATATTTTGTCGATAAGAAATAGTTGAAGCTCACCTAAGAACTAACTGACTGGGATTAGGTACTCGGGCGACCGCTACGTAGACGAATGACTGTACCTGGCGATAACTGTGTACTTGGAGACGTTTGCTGAGTTTGTCTTGTAGACGAAGAACTCCGGATCTGGTGACTGTCAGTGAGCTAGACTAGTAGGAAAATGACTGTGCCTGACGATTGCTAGTGAGTTAGACATGTTTACCAATAACTGTGTTCTTGGAGATGTTTAGTGTGCTTGTCTCTTAGATAAAGAACTCTGGATATGGTGACTGCCAGAGAGCTAGCCTAGTAGACGAACGACTGTGCCTGGCGATTGATAGTGAGTTAATCATGTTTACCAATAACTGTGTTCTTGGAGATGTTTAGTGTGCTTGTCTCGTAGATGAATTCTGGATCTGGTGACTGCCAGTGAGCTAGACTAGTAGTAAAATGACTGTGCCTGGCGATTGATAGTGAGTTATTCTTGTTTACCAATAATTGTGTACTTGTAGACGGTCGATGAGATTTTCTCGTAGACTCCGGAACTGGCAACTACCACTGTCTTGCGTACCAACAACTGAAGACAGCCACAGAGCTGTTATCATAAACGAATAACTGGGCAAAGACGACAGCACTTCGGTATCAAACCAGTATCAGCGACATTTTAAAATTATACAGCTTCATATCAGTACTGTCGCCATTTGAAGCGATTGAAAGCAGTAATCAATGAAGAACGTCTGGAATTTGGCAATCAGAAATGAGTCGTCTACGGTTAAGACAATTCTCGGCCTTACGACTTTTTGGAGACCAGGCAGAATTTGATACATCTAGGCTGGGATATTCTACTACACCCGCCCTACTTACCCAACGTTGCCTCTTTGGATCACCATTTATTTCGATCCATATAAAATTATCTTACTGAAAATAACTTCTCCGGAAGCCTGTAAAAACAAAACAGAGAAGTACACCATCTAGAAAGTTCTGGGAGGATAGAATAATGAAGCTGCTTCAAAGATAAAGAATGACTGGAAGAAAATGATAGAAATGCAGTTAAATTAATCTATGTAAAATATCTAAATATTTTCTTTTTAAATTAGTTGAAAATCTTCACTTTAAACCCACTATATTACTCAATATTAAGAGATCACTTATTATTGTCTAATTTGCAAGTATTATCTGAATAGCTAAATTTCTAATAAAATGAAGGGATGTATTAAAAGAACAAAGAAAACAAAGCAAAATTATTCTATGCTTTAGGTTAACCCCTGGAGCTAGAACAAAATATGGAAATTAAACGCCGTTGGGTAATTAGTTAACATTTCTAAAGGGAAATAACTTTTAGGTTTTGTAAAGTTTTAACCTGAAGCAAAACCTTCACCCGTTTTTATCCGTCGGCTATAAATCTGAATATTTTCAAATCCAAGTTCTGCAGTATTAAATAAATTAATTCTTGGCTTTCACTAAATGGTATTAAAAAAAACCTTTAAAAACACATACCAAAATATAATTATATTTATTTGAGAGGAATGTTTTATCATGCCGTCATGGGTTAGCGGCCTAGACAGGGGAAAACCATTTTTAGTGAGTAATGAGTTCGATCCTCACAGCGTATACTTGGGGCATCCTGCGAAAATGAAGCTTAATACATAAATATATTAATTTGGGAAGAAATGCCTTAGCTTGTTTATATCAATTTTTTTCTTTCTTTTTATGTGCCGTGTCCTTTCAGGGCGTAGGTGATCATGGCTCTCCACTGCCTCCTATCCCTTGTAGCTCTCAATAAGTTTCGTCCCTCTGCCACGTCCCCGAGACTACATTCTTTCATACACTTGTTTAAAAGCCCGCCAGATATGTCATGCTTTGTTTTCCCTTGTCTTTCTTTCTCTCTGTTTGAACTGTGAGTATTAGAATCTACACGCCCTTCTTTTTCATTACGTGTCCTAGAAATTTCAGCTGCCTCTTCCTGATATTAAGTATAAGCTTCCTTCTTGTTTGCTTCCTCTCCAAAACCACATTCGATGCCGTAAAGGAGGGTGGATTTTACGTTACAACTCAGTGTTCTTTTCTTTGCTACTAAGGTAACTCTCCTGTCTCGCAATACTTGGCCTAGATTTTGGAATGTGTTCTTTGCCATCCCAGTACGGCTTCGGATCTCAGCGTTGCATTTACCGACCTCTGTCAAAACACTTCCCATATATTTATACTTCCGCACCTGATTTATTTTAGTCTCCCGACCTGCAAATCGAATTTCGGGCTCATCCTTTTATTGATGGCCATGCATTCTATCTTCTTTTAGCTTATGCTTAGTCTTTTCTTATCGTTCTCCTTCGCTACCTTCTGTAGGAGGATTTCTGATTTCCTTTCCGTGTCTGCTATCAGCACAGTGTCATCTGTGTATCTTATGTTGTTAAGACTGTGACCGCCAATGGTGAATCCGGATAGGATTTCTAATTCTCTCAGATACAATACATTATTTTATCTTAAAAACACAAAGAAACTTAATACATTTCATTTTCTTTCCTTTCTATCACATTCAATACATAGGCGGCCATGGTTCGCGACATTTCTTTTAATCGTTTCAACCCAAACAAAGCTACAACTCCTCTAAGACTCAAGGGGTTTTTGGGAATGAAAGAAAATGATAAATATTTATGAGAAGAAAGGTAAATATAAAAACAGGATCCAGGAAAACTGTATGGGTATGACGATAAACTATATCTACGTCCAACAACAAGGCCTCTGATCAGAAGCTTTTGATTCCTGGTGTTCTTAGGTTCACGCTGACCTGTGATAGTAGCATCTGTTAGGATCTCAGCTATGGGCAAATAGTTAACATATAATGGGTTATCAATTGTAGAGAAGTGTATGAGTGTTGAAACAGATTAGTTTGATTTGGCCTTGTTAGTTAGAAAACAAGAAAATCAAATTGTAAAATGAAACAACAAATTTATATACATACAAATCAATTTAGGTTTTTACAAATAAAATTAGTGTATTTTGGTTCATACAAGGTCATCAAAATGTTCGTAGTAGTCCTTGTAAGAATGAGTTTATGTGTACGTAGGCAGGAACGTATGTGTGGATGTATGTATTTATATATGAGCGTTATCGTAGGGTAGTAATCGCTCAGTCTTAAAAGTTCCGTTCGTTTATCAAGTATAAAAGAGGTGAGGGAGAAAGGTAGATATAATAATAACGATCGCTTGGTGTCTGTCAAGGGACATGTTAATACGCTCGTCTCCTTCTCTCTGGTGACAGGCGAACTTGCCTGTCGTTTATTTTGTTTGTGGGGCTTGAAAAGGTCATTTGGGAATTCAATCCCAGATATCATTCGGGCCTTTTCACTGGATGACGAACAAACTTTGCGTCGGCTCGCGAAAAGATCCGTAAAAGAATTCGTTTCTGAGAATTGAAGATTATTTAAATTTTGTTTTTAAATATTTCATAGTTTTCTGTTGACTGAAAAACAATTCGCATCAAGGTAGGAAATTCCATGAGTTTTGTTTTGGATTCGCTTTTGCATGTGTGTTAAGCAAAGTTTGTAAATTCGAGTCTTTTTAATTTCTAACAAAATCAATGAGTCAGGGCTTAGTATTTGAATTTTAAAACTAGACTTTGTTTTGTTCATTACAAACCCCAAACTGGGGTCAAAAACTATGAAATTGTAAAAATAGGTATTACGACCAGAAATACCTTCTAATGAATTATTACCAGCAATACTTTTTGAAGGTAATATTATTACCAGCAATACTTTAAAAAATATTACTAACTACACGTTTAAAAAAAACAAATATATTACCAGCTATACATTTTTTGAAAAGAAAATATTACCAGAAATAGATTTTTTAAGAAAAAAAATATTACTAGAAATAGATTTTTTAAGGAAAAAATATTACCAGCAATGTATTTTTGGGAAAAAAATATTACCCGCAATAAAAATTTTGTCGGCATAAAATAATCTATTGGGGTCGATATGACGTAAAAGAAAATAAACCAAACCAAACGAAGATGGCAGAAAAGCGAGAAGAGATTCCAAAAAGCGAGAAGTGCGAAAAAAAAAGAAACTAATAGAATAAAAATCGAGGTTAAATCTAGTAAAACGATGAGACCTAATTACCAATCTAGTATTACATTTAAATTAAAGCGGTTAAAGTACCAAGGAGAAAAACTCATCAGAACAATTGCCATGAAAATATTTATCGAAAAAACAGGTTGAAGTCACATCGAGATACATAGCACGAACAGTGAACAGTTGTTGCGCCCCCATGCTGTTTCGTACTCATGGGATATGCCTATTATCCTGTTATGCAGGTTAGAAAACGACTACAAGTATATGAAGACTTAACCATAAAAGTCAAACAATTCAAAAGCAATAAAATTTCATTTAATATAAAATTAATGTGAACTAACTATTAGCGAACTTAAGAAATTTGTTAACAGAAAAACGTAACAAATTTCAATCGACAAATATTGCACTTTCTTTATAAATGATTGTTATTTGATAGAAATTCAACGCCCTTCTATCTTGAATGTCGAGTCGATGGATAAAAGTGTAGCTGTCTTTCTAAATCATTCCCGTCATCCCTCAGCTGCTAAGAATTGATGACGAGACATAAAACCTTATGTATGGTCATCACTTTCTTCGTTGCTTGACCTAAATATTTAGCTCTTCTCTGGATAATTTTAGAATATACCAGAATATCTCACGATGGACACTGGTGATGGTGATGGATCGATTTCCTTCGATCACATCCTTTCGCCTGTGTTTCGTTTCCAGTCTTTTATTTTGCTCCCAATTTTGGCCGTCATTTATTCGATTTGATTTATTTTTGCTTCTTTTGTCTACTTTTTCATATACTCTTTCAGTCAGCATTCATTTATTATATGATCTTTTTTTTTGTTTCCGGCAAAGGCGACATTTAGTGATATTCCCCCCCTCTCCTATTTTTACTTTGACATAAATGGTCCTAATGTATTCACATCTTCACTGATTTCCTTTCGCTTTTAACCTATACACAGCTTAACTAAATTCCCGGCTGGCATAAGTTTCGAATTATCTTCGATTGTTTTCTTTCTTTTCAAAATCTGCGTCTTGGGTATGACGATAAACTACATCTGCGTCCTGAGTAAGACGATAAACTACATCCGCGTCCTGAGAATGACGATAAACTACATTCGCGTCGTGGATATGACGATAAACTACATCAGCGTCGTGGATATAACGATAAACTACATCAGCGTCCTGGATATGACGATAAACTACATCCGTGTCTTGGGTAAGACAATAAACTACATCAGCGTCCTGCGAATGACGATAAACTACATCCGCATCCTGGGTATGACGATAAACTAC